CCCCCACCCCCCCCCCCCCCCCCCCATTTCCCCTTTTTTTTAAAATCATTTAATAATAAAACAGCTCACGAACCGCGTAGATAAGGTCAAAGCAAACTGAAGTAGCTGAAACGCATGGTACAGCTGCGTCTGAGCATTCGAAACCGAGTCCTGGTCTAAAACAAGCTTGACCTTCGTAGCTGACCTCCGCAGACTCCTGTTCGATTTGGTATGTCTCTCGAGCTTTTGGGTCAGATCTTCTAGCTCTTTCGCAGCTTTCTTGTAGTAGCAGGCTCAAGGCTCCGCTTAGTGAGTTTTGCACAGAATCTTGCTCAGCTTCGAGCTCGGTAATAATAGAATTCAAAGCTTCGAGTCTTTTCCAACTGATTTTGAATGCTTTGGGGAACATTTTGGATGTTTTTTCAAAAGTCGTGAGTTTGGTCAGTTTGGTGGCTACCTAGCCAAGTGCCACAGCAGCGGCGACAAGACCAACTAGTACTTCTGCCATTTTGCGCCGGGTAAGTCGTCTGCTGCGGTGAATAATCTCTACAATGCTCCTAGACAACCAGAGATCTGACCATGTTTAAAAAGGAGTCTGTCCGTGGTGAACCAAGCACTGCCCCATCACTAGATGCGATGAGGGATGCCAGATAAGGCGAACAAGCATGAATGGTTGGGCCTTGTCAGGTCGAGACCGATTTCCACAACGGTATATAGAAATTCTAGCACACATATAGTAACAGGCACTGGCTACTGCATCTGTTGTGCTACTCCAAGACATCAGCAAGGCTGAGCCCGGGTGGTGGCTGAGCGTGATGCAACATCGAAGCTCTCCGCATGGTCAGTTCAACACCCTGAACTTTCTACCCTACCAGCCATTATATTGCATTTTTTGAAAGATTTCAGATGGCTGATACAACTCGCCAACTTTCCGAGGTGTTCTAATTCGCTACGTAGCCTTCTGAACATGGACCGGTTGTCATTTGACTAACCGACAAACCATACTCTGCTCCTGTAGAAGTGCTCCAAAAGTCGGCATAAAGCTGTACTTGACGAAGACCAGTCTTGAGCTTAGTTCATGACAGTTCCAGCCGAATACTTTGTCTCTTTGTTACCCCAAGAAGCATCTACGTGATCACCCTTTAATTATAGACGCCCATTTACCCATCTCGATATATATTAGGCGACGCTAGCACGCTTACTGGTAGTGATTTCAGCCAGGTATGTATTAGCAAGGAGCAAAACGGGAACACAACGCCGGTGCTATTAAGCCCGCGGTTAGTCTTGGCATGTCATGGGGTCCGACCGTGGATACATGGAGCGTTGAGCTTCTGGAAAACAAACCCCCGCATCCTTTCTGATGTATTTACTGAGGCTTATACTAAATCTGGGCTCTCCTAGAGAAAACAGAATCTCTTTGGAATGTACGATAAGGAATTCAAAGAGCAAAATAACACTTGCCATAAGTAGTCATTGAAGTTGAAGAATACGGATATGGTACGAACAGGCTGCTTGCGCCATGGCGTTTGGAATTAGTTCAACGAGGATGAAGTACCAAGTGCTAGCATGACCTTGACCGATAAGTCGTGTATCTACTTTGACGGCAGATTCAGCGTTCGCTATTGAGGACATCTACTTGGTTGAAAAAACGCTGAAGTGGAACTGCTCGCTGGGCAGAGAACAAGAGGTATATTTGAACCTTAACATGAGTGTATTCTATAATATGTACCTGTGGTATAAAAAGCTTCCCCTGAGCGTATGAGCTGACCCAAAACACCACATATATGTATACACAGATGTATCCTCTACAGTTGTAGACTCCAGACTCTATGCATTGCATTCCATTTTTGGTCATCTTTCGTCATTTTAGTGTTGTACATCGCGTCAAAGTTGCGTGGAGGTGAGTCCACGCACGGGAAATCCGCTTGCGATTGCGGCTCCTTGCATCCGCTGCAACCAGGGTAATCCATCGCCGTCAGGGACAGGCCGGTGCTCGAGACTGCAGTTGACATATATTGAATCGTTCATATATGTATAGTCAGATACGGAGGTGACACATTCTGACAGTGCACCCGGAAAAGGCGACGCGCTCAATGCAGCACACAGCCAACACATTTGTTGAAATATTTCAATCATATTATGGGACCAGCCGGAGACGGTCAGTCGAACCGCTGAATTTTCCAACTCGACATGAAGGAGTCGCAAGCCAGGGCAAAAGGGACCGAGTTCGTCGCTTCCGTCCCATATAGATAGACCCGACATGGGTTCGCCTTGCTGACAGGATAGTGAGGCACTGCCAACAGCTTCTTCGAGGCATTTCAATACTATCGCCCCGCACTTGGGCCATGCCTTTTCAATATACTCTTCCACCGTGGTATACACACACTCTTCCGCTGTGCCCGTGATGGCCGGTAGCGAGCCAATGTTGACCAATTGAGGGTCAGCAATTCCGTCGAGAGGTCCAAACAGCTGACAATCGAATTTGAATTGGACAACATGGAAGCCGTCCGTGGGGGGAGGAAATGGTCGTTTCAAGAGTAGGTTCCAGATGGCGGATTCGGTGATGTGAACCTGAACATAGTGTGGAGTCATTAGGACATTACGAATAGAAGCGATAAGGTTTTGTGCAGAGTTCCCGTTCATGATTTGTGTGTGGAGGTTGCGGGCAATGTCGTCCG